TTAAATGTATATATATATATATATATATATATATATAAAATGTTTTTCAAGTTATATCACAAAAGAGACACACAATAGACTTATTCACACTAAACAAAAATGAATATATTTATGTAGAAATTGAGCTCACTCTGACAAAGGGAGAGAGTGTGTGTAGAAGAAGGAAAATACACGCGTTTCTGGGATGTTCCTAGTGTCCATAAAACATACGTTACTTTGCGGCTTTCACTATTCATGGCGCACATACACATTCCAATGAACGACCAAAACACTGACACTATAATTCTACTGGATTTCGAAATTAAAATAGAAAGACACCGATACGCCACTTTAAGCACTATTGAAAGAGAAAGAGAGTGAATGAGAAGGAAAACCACCCAAAACACATCTCGTTGAATTATTTATAACGATGGTTTTCATTTCATTGGAATTGTTGTCTCTAGCACAAACAAATTTAACTCTTCACACTGTGAAGTTCACACAGGCAGTACGAACAATTCCTTTGCAAATGAAAATGCAAAAGCGGCAAGTTTTTCCAATTAAACTGAAAGGTTGTTTTGTAAACAAACATGAGAAAATATTTATTATAAAATGCAAACGGACTCATAAAAATGGAAATTTCATCCGATTCGGTCATATTTTAATTGTCAAAGGTTTAAAGGCTCACAATAATTTCGCTTATATCATACAGAGCACACTACTCAAGTGCAAAACTTAATTAAATAGGCTCAACCACAGTTTTGTTCACTTTTTGTATGGCTTTTTGCGTCGTTGGTCAAAGTGTTTTTAAGCGGAAAAGCAAACATCTCATTATTGTTGGAAAAAGAAATATCCACTTCAAATGCATTTTATATTGCATCGGATTTCTTTGCTTGTTTCTTGCGTTTATTTTGTATTTTTGATCTCTTCTCTGTATGCGTGGGTGGGTCGGGGTAAATGCGACTGAGCTGTAAAGTCACTTTACAAAGTGGATTTCCCGCAACCTTTCTAATTTTGAAGTTCATGCGGAAAAAAACAATATAGAGCTTCTTTTGAGCGTGCACACACACAAACTTTATAATCTAAACGCTTTAGGGATATTAAATTGTGTGTACATTGCGATTATATTGCGGGAAAGGGAAAAAATGTGAATTTATGCGTTTATTCGTATCACAAATAGAACAATTTTAGTTAAACGACTACAATTCGACCAACATCTACTTACACTTTTTTATTCTGTATTGTGTATGTGTGTAACTCAACAACAGCATGAGCTGAAAAAGTTCAAACGTTGAAATAACAACTACTATTCAAACAATTCACCAAGCAGGTAGATTTTGTTTTTAAAAGTTGAAAAAAGCAAATAGACTGAAATAAAAAAAACCGATCAACTTGAAAAAAAAGGTCAACTATCACCGACATCACATATTAGAAGAATGTATGCAATACAAAAAAGCTCAATGAATACGTGGCATAACAGTAAACATCTAGCGACAAAAAGCAGCGAACCAAGCAAAATGTTTTCGGTGAAACTGGTGATTTTCGCTGTATAATTTTGCTGGTGATAAATCACAGATTTATTATGGTTGTGCAACAAACATCCAAATTTATCCGCTGTGCATAGACAATTTCTAGTTTTGATTGTTTTGACCTTAAAAATCAGATATTCATCTCTTTTATCAACAGAAAAATGCAAACAATATTCCGAGAAGAATCAATGTTTATCAAAAAGAATTTATTTGTTTGTCAAAGTTTTACAGCTAAATTTGATTCAATACTTAACTGATGACAAAAAGACGGAAGTCAACCGAGTGGAAAAATGGTATTTTCTATGAAAACCACCTTGAAATTGATAACAAAAGAAAGATCAATCAAAATTTATCAATGCCAAATAAAAAGAAAATGCCAAATAAAAAGAAAACGAATTTCGGCTATTCACGACGAACAGTGAATCAATTATGGAATAAAACGTGAATCGATAAAAGCCAGATTACACGATTCGATTGATACGGTAGCCAATAATAGAGGGGGGAAATACGATTTCTAAGTGCATACAGTCGATAACTTTATTCTCATTGATTGGTTCGAACGCAAACCTTTGTTCGATTCAATAGGAAGGAGCGTGAGTGCACTTGATTACAATGTTCAAGCGCATACAAATCGTGTGATTATATAACGGTGATCGAAGTCATTGGATCTGAAAAATGCAGAGAATTTATAATTTTGTTTTTTCATGACAAAAGAGTTGTTTTTTGCATAACATTCTTTTTACATCATGTAAATTACAACGTTTTACGATAAGAACAGCAGCGTAAGCATGCACATAAAAGCATCGATGTTGAAGACGTTTTTTTTACGACAACAGATATGCATCATTCGTTGACTTATTTGATGTTGGACACATTTTTTTTTCTTCACCGAATTTTATGCAATGCATATGTGCACATTTTGTGCTATCGGAAATAAGTTTGATCCGTCATAAAAAATGAAAACTTTTTTTTTCGTCGTCGTAAAATTGTGCACGCACATAATTTACAAACTCGCACTGATTCAGTTTGTTGGTTCGCGCATTTTATGAGTTTGTTTTTGACTTGAACGTGTAATACGGTATTTTGTGACAAGGTTTCAAACGACCCGGTTACCATATCATGGCAGAAACCGTGATCGCACTTTTTTATTTATTTTATAATGACAAAAATGAAGTTTAATATTGACCTCGCGGATAACGATAACGATGATGATATGGTTTTTACAGGAATTCGAATAAGCACTTTGAGTTTTATAGCATACACAGCTTTAACCGCGTATTTTTTTCATTCGTTTTCCTTGTTTTTTTTTGTGCTATTAAATCATTCAATACAGAAAAGTGGCGAAATAAGTTTGAAAAGTCATTAGGTTAAAAGAAATATTCGCATCGAATCAAAAGACGCGGTCTTGTGAAAAACGAAATATTTGCAAAAGAAAATATTCATAGCAAAAAGTGCATTTGAAATAGAAAGCATTTTCAATTTCTCTAAAATCATGAATATTCGTTGAATGGCAACAGTATGCAAAAACATTCCAACGAATATTGAAAAGAGAATAAAAGACGACAGAAGAATTAAAAAAATGAGAAGAAATAAGGTAGAGGTATGAAGTAGAAAATGGAACAAACTTTTTTCGAGGGGGGCATGACTCATGAAGAAGGAACGCATGAAGGAAGGAAATGAAAAGAGCCAGAAAGAAAGATTGAGAGATAAAATGTCTCCTTATCTTTTATAAAATACTGACAACACTGTTTCTTTTCCAATTTCCGCGAATCTTTCTCCAAGGAGTTCCAAGAAAAGCATTACAATAAGCTTATTCAAATACAAATAAATGCACTATAAATGTTTTCACATCTTTTTTTATTTGCTTCCTGCAAACTTTGACATTTATGATCCCCGAAGAAAAACAAACACCGCAAAAAAATGGGAAGTGAAGGGAAAAAATATTAAGGTACCTTTAAGAGGCACTACGTAATAAATGTCATAATTCATAAGTTTATGTTTGGCGTGCATTTGTGCAAGCACTATGTATTTCTTGGATGTATCGCATAAGTCAAACATCGAGAACAATTTCAATTATGCGCCCTCTCTCTCACACACACACACGCTCTCTCTCAGCCGCACTGATGTCACGAGTAAAAATTCTGATGCGAGAGTACAAAGAGAACGAAAAGCTCAACCATCTATAGAATTGCCTCATTTTGCGTTGCTTTTTATCAGTTCTTTTTATGTATCATTCGTTCGTTCAATTTAAATTTTGTACCATGTGCCTGTTTTTTGTTAGTTCATCTTTCATCTGCTATTTACCATCATCCACTCCTCTCATCACAGACGATTTGATGTGTCACATTTGCTTTCTGCAAAAACCAACCGAGCAACAGACAGACAAACAAACCGACCGAACCGAAGTTGGAAGAAAGATAATCGGAACTTAAAAATCTTGTTGCTAGTTTGCATTGTTTGGTACTTTTGTTTTGTGGTTCCGTTTTATTTTTTTTCTCTTTTGTTGTTATTGTAACCTTCTAAATGGGACACACACACATACACACGAGCCAACAAGAGCCCCTACAGCTAAAACCAATGCATTGTTGAAACTTTCAACATGAGTACTTACAATGAAAAAAGATGAAGCTTATTCAAGCAGAAACAACAGCAGAAAAAAGTATACCTAATGGAAACGGCCTGAGAATCTCGACATATAAACCTTTTGTACCGGCACTTTTGTACATATGTTTTTTTTTTGCCTCTTTCGCTCAAATGACTCTCTCATTGTTTGCAAATTGTGTACACGTTGTTCGTTCGCTTCTTTTTTTCTCGTTGATTCCTTACATGTCGTTTTTTGTCAACCTACCATGTTTTTTGGCACTTGAATTTACCTGTTCATGGGTGCCATTCGATATCTTCTGGTTCTCACTCTGTTTATGTTGTCATATGGTTGCGTTTTTTTTTCTTATCGAAAGATTTATGTTTCATGATGGTACACTAGTAAAAGTATGATATACGTTTGGCATGTTGAGAATGTTTTCATTCTGCAATATGCTGAATGAGTGTTGATATGACAATAGAATTGGAATAATATATGTAAAATTGACAAACGGCTAAAACATTTTCTGGATTTAACGGGATCAGCAGCGTGAAAAGGATAAAAGATCCCAAAAAATTGCTTTAAATCACGACCAAAGAACACTTTTTTTTACTAGATACGCAATTGAAGAGAATTATCACACACATACCATGAGATGTTTCTTCAAATGTTCCATAAGTACTTTGGATCCAAGTACAGTCTTCATATTCTCTTGATTAATTGGTTGTTATTGCGCATATATATATGCTTTGTGTGTTATTCTATGCTTTTCTTAGAATACAAATACATTTTTTTCCTTCTGTTTCCTTGTATAAATAAATGATATTTGTCTGTAAATCTTTCAATGTCTGAATTTTTGTATTTTTTACTCAAAAATTTTTTTCATTCTGTTGTTTATCTTTCTCCGACAGGTCGTATTATTGTTCATGTTTTCCGGGTTTCAGCGGCAATGATTGTGGAGTGGGCCCATTATGTTATGACGGAGACAAAAACTTTTGCGAAAATGGTGGCATTTGCAAGTAAGTGTATAACAATTTTATCATTTTTTTTTGCTTTTCGCTTTTTATCAGAGAAAATTTCCAGACAATAATGTAGACATCATTTTTATTCATGAACAGTTGTGAGAAAAAATGAATCAGAAGAATTTTTGAAGAAAGCTGCTTCGATTGCAACTAGAGAATTTTATTTCAAAAAATAATAAAAAAACGGAATGAGAAAGAGTTGGCCAAATTTCGAAAATCCTTACATCATTCCTGGTGTTGTGGCCATTAGCAAGGCTTGATCTTCTTCTTTAGTTTTGATTGTTGTATTTAATCCCGAGTTGCGACATTGTTCTAGAAATTAAAATGAAAGAAAAAAAAATAAACATGTTGAAGCTCTGGTGTTGTCAAAATTGCAATTTGTGCAAGAACATTGAATTTAATTTTGATGTCGAATTTAACGGTTTTAATCAATCGGAATAGCAAACATCAATGCGACCCATTGAAAGATGCTTGGATTTTGTGCGCATCACCAACGGTGTCGTTGTGCATTCGGATCTGGCAGCGTACGATGTGCTTGCTTCACATGTACTAATGTGAATGATCAGGAAAGCAACCATGATATGCTTAGTTTTAATTTAATGATTCAACTGATTCCTATTTGTAAATGTTTTACAAATCTTAAATTATTCGTTGGAGAATGTATTACGAAGACATCCACATCCGCAATCTTACGGTTCATCGTCTTTGCATTCTACTGCAGATACTTGCTCGCAAACACTGTCCTCTTATAGGCACAAAAAACTTGGAACATTTTCAAAATATTCGGTCGACTCATTGCAAATTTGCTTAGAGAAAACATTTGTACAAATAAACTCTCAGTATCGTGGAGAAAGAATGAAGATTCGGAACACGGCGCAATTGTGTTGAGAATTGGCTTTGGTCGAATTCTGAAGGAGAGTTTGGCCTTTGCCGATTAAATTGAATTGGCAGCAAATGTTTCAACAAGTATTTTAACGTGTGCATTGTCAGAGTGTTTGTCCTAAAAAATATTCTTCAAAGAGAACTTTAATCACTAAAATCAATGCCAAATTTGATCGCCAACTTTTAGGCACGATGGCAAATTCAGCGTTTAATGTAGACTCCACGCCTGAGGAGAACGTTGAGGAAAATCCTCCTCCTAAAATAAGGAGGTAATTTTTTTTGTCAAAAAGCGATTTTCACTACATAAATATCTTTTTTGGTTAAAAACATTTTCCTCCTCACCCATTTCCTCCTCCTCAGAGGAATAGTCGATGGTTTATATTAAAAGTAGTTTATATTCATGAATTTCAAATACAGACATCTGTGATTAAAAGAGAGATAAGCATCAAACTGTTAGATGACATTGTTCAATTTCGGATGTAATAAGATTTATGACCACTAGCGCTGCCAAAAACAATATAAATTCCATAGGTCAAAAACACGTTTCTCATACGCACTGCGAAGATACTGTTTTTGATGTGGTTGCCATCGCTTATATCACACAGCAGTTGTGTCAGGCATACACTAATATGCGGTGTGCAACATATAATAGATAGGGGTAATTTCGATATAAAAATCGGAATTTTAAAGGGCTGTGTGTAAAATGTTCTCCACAGAGGGATTAAATTTAATACAAAATTCACACATCCGACATTAAATTTATGCATCGTTTTTTTATCTACATTAAAATAACAACAAAAAAAGAAATCGGGTTTATTTGATGAAAAATATCATTTTAAAACGAATACACATCTTAAATGCATTCTTGAGTACCTACTCTATTATACTTTTATGTGAATTTCCATAAAATGTTTAATAGAGAAAGTAGAAGTTGGTGCATTTATTCTTCTGTCTCCTATTTCTTTCATTCTTACAAAATGATGTTCAAGCGAAAAATGCTAAATAAACAGTGGAAATGGTCGATGTCACAGTACTTAGTTTGAAATGCATTAAAGTTCTTCAAGAATTGAACAAGACATTTTTCTCAAACCATTTGTCGTTAAGAACTATTTATTCTCTCTTTCTTAAATGTAAATACATTGTACAAGCGACGAAAAGTCACTGTGTTTCCAAAATGTTGAACTTGAGTACATTCTGTGAAGAATTTGGTGATGAGTTGTACTTTCGGCCGCTTTTGAACACAGTGAACCACTTCAATATAATGAATGTTGAATTTATATTGAAATATCTCTCTCATTCTCCCTCTTCCTCCAACAATCTGTAATATTCTCTTCTTTAACGCCATACAATTTCAATAAATCATTGGAAAAATGTGATTTCAAATTGAAAAATTCATTCAACAAAATTCGGTCCATTGCTCGATATAAATCTAGTGTGCTTTTATTTCCAAATAAAATTTATTTAAAATTCATGGCATTTCGATTCAATCGTCAAAATAAGATACACAAAAAATACAATGTTCACCGTCGTCGTCGTCGATCTATGGTCATCATTTTTCCATATATGTAAAATAATTGAATTTTTGCAAAGTTGCAACTACAAAAGAGCGCATTCAAGCGATTGATCGATTGTGCACAATGTAATATGAGCGTTTATGTAAATTTTTGTTGATGTTGTTGCTTTCGTTTGTATATTATTCTGCCGAGTCATGGCATTCATTGTAGAGCACATCTGGAATTGATACATTGAAATGCTTACCACCACTTTTAATATAACATTCGGAGTTTATTTGCATCACATCCACAAAATAATTGCTCACGAAGTTCAATAAGCTTGCTCAATATTAATGTAGAGAAAGAGAGAAAGCGCAATTTAAACTACAACAGAGTTGCTAAATGTCAATGGTGGATGGTGTGTGCCGTCGTCAACATTGAGAATCCAATGTTGGCATTTCGGTTGGCACACATATCGTATGACCCATTTTTCGATATATATTGACAACACCACTCTCATTGTTGGGTCGGTTTTGTTCGTCATTCGTATATCTACGCGTTTTATGCCATGAAAATACCATCATAGCACATAGCATATTGTTGTATTCGTCTTTTTCACAAGCTAACCATTGAATGGAACCGAGAGAAGCCTGTGTGTGAAACACGAAAAACAATTACCGGAAACATCAGCTTGAGTTGGAATAAGTGATGGTAAATATGGCTTATGTCGTTGGCGGTGTTGGTGGTGATGATGTTTTCTACTACAGATAGCAGAGACGACAGCGACAACGATTATGACAACGACGATAATTATACAACGATTTTCACTTTAATGCAAACGGAACGAAAGTGTTGGGAAAGAGCAGATAATAAAAAGCTATTGGAAAAGGATAGCCATGATGTGGTTTTCGTGTGCATTTTCCTAAAGCCACAACACTTAACATTTTAGCATACAAATGCACACGCGACCAGACAACTGGCCAATGAATTTATTTTAAGCGACAATGGTGATAATACATTCAATCGCTCAATACGCACGTATGGTGTGAAGAAAATAATTATTTGGCTTAATTTTAATTTTTTACTATTTATTGTTGTGCGAAATTAATTACGTTCATACATACTAAAAGTCGGATGCACATTCATTACCTTTCAAAACTCTAATTTTCGTTGTGTATACTTCTGGGCAAAATTGACGACCCCCAAAAACCCCAGTAAATCGAAAGAATTTTTATCCCGTCAAAGAATTTTTCGAACCTTAGGAGGCAGGTTGGTGAACCCCTCCCCTCTACCTTCTACGAGTATATTCTCAGGTTGTAATCCGAAATGCATTCAAATTTGAAATTCGAAATTCAATGTTTTTTTTTTTTAAATATAATTTGCACATTTAAAGAATGTAATCAGTTTCATTTCAATGAAGCGAATAATTCAATTCAATTTTAAAATGCATGAATACAAAAAAAATGTGTCGAAAAATGAATGCTGATTTAAATGCAGATAGTAACTATATTGGAAATTGATTTATCGAGTTTTAATGACGTTTTTCACAGAAGAATTGAATTTTTAACCAGATAAAATAATAATATGAACCAGTTGAAAACTGAAATCAAAATATTAAAAAAACGAAAAAAACAACTAATCGAACTGTTTGTAATTTAATTTTGAAATAGGCAAATTGGAGACGCAGGTGTAATGTGTATATGTCCAAAAGGCTTCAAAGGCAAAAAGTGCCAAATACCGGAAGACGAGGATATAAATGGTGAGTAAAAACACTATTTCAATATTTACAAATAAATTACAAACATTTTGTTGTGAAACACTTTGTTTGTGTTATTATGAGTTTCTGCTTAAATATGCAAATGACACATTCGATAGCAAAATCGAATGCTTTCGATGTATCAAAATACTGATCAATTTTCTCATACTGTAATTTTCACGAAAACTGTCACACAGCCACAGCTATTTTATGAGACTTAATTTTCCAGTTGGGACTCGGTTTTCAAAACTGAAGGCGAGACCAACACTGAAACTATAACTGAATGTATACATTGTGTAGTATTATACACGAAAACTATGAATTAATTGATTTAGTTCTGGTTGTCGAGCATGATATTCATGTGTATAAATTGTTGCGTGTGTGCCTTCGTTATCAACTAATTTATATGCTTTTACTCTTTCGTTTTGCCGAGCACATTCATGCAGACACACGCAGTTTCAGTGTGTGTACCTAGGTAATGAATGCCTTCGGGTCAAATAAGAGAAAAGCACACTGAACTGAATTGATAATAATAACAACAAACAATGCTTCAAATAAAAATTGTTTCTATGTGTGTGTGTGTGCATGAGACTGTTGGATGCTGAAACTTCTATTGTTTTACTTGAACAAATATGGCCCGTGCAAGTTTAGCGCGCTAGTCGTTCGCTTCGTTTTCATAACAGTATGCGATTTATCATTTTCGATATTTATCTCGGAGTCGGTGCGAAGCATAGAAAGGCAGCCAGCCAGCATTAACCAAGTCTATCCAAGCTTTGGTTGAAGCTCTTTGCTTTCACTATACACTATATATGGACAATACTGGCGCATAATTTACCATCAGAGTTCAACAAAATAAATTCCAATGAACGAACATCAGTCTTTCTGTTGCCAGGCATTTTGTCACATATTTTATTTGTTCCACTCGGAACACACGCGTTTTTTTTTCTCTCTCTCTCTCTCTCTCTCTCTCTCTCTCGCTGTTTTCGTACTATCTGTGCATATAAATAAAATTGCCGCTAGTATGTTGGGTTCTGTGTAGTGCACAGAAAATCACAACACTCGGGAAGTGTCTTTGTTGATGGTTTCGTGCAATATTCACAATTTAATTTTTGAAATACACCCATTGCACACTGAACGAACCCATTGCATTTCGTTCGTTTCACTATCTATACAATGCAATAGTTTATTTATATTTGCCGTGAAAAATCATTTTCAGACTGAACATTTCAGCAACAAAGGGGATGAGGAGAGAGAGAGAGAGAGAGGGCGCAGAGAAAAACGCAGACAACAAAACTTTTAACGAGAGCACAAAGTATTTTGCATACATAGCGGACATAGTGTGTATATGAATGTAAAGCTTCGATGAACACAATTAGTTATCTGCGTGGAATATTGCGATCCAGTGAGCGCATTGAATGGAATTGCAGTGAGGAAGTGGCGGAAATTCAAAGTGAATTGTGGTTGTGAAATTCATTTGGGTTCACACACACACAAAAACTCACACTTTTTACTGGACACAATGGCAATCAGTTCAGCCAGCCTCTCAAAATGGACAAACAATATTTGATATCGTTAACTGAAACTATTTGCGGTGATTCGAGTTTGTTTGAAAATCCGAGGCCGACACACACAGATTTTGACTGCCAACAGCAACGCGATAAATGATGCCACTTGATCTTGTTGCATACACTTTGCATTATCACTTTCACCAATAAATCTATCGTTTCAAATTAACTACAGCCGCACCTTTTGTTCTCTCTATTGAATACCACAAACTTTCACATTCGAGTATTGTTACAAGAGGCCATTTTACAGAATCGAAAATTCAAAAGCCGATGTCGTGCGATGCACCAGATTTTGTTTACGGGCACGATGTGCACAGCCCATAGCACCGTAAGCCATTACTGCAGTTGACATTGTAATTCCAAACCGACTTACCATATTTAAGCATTAGTCTGTCCCCCCCCGCATTTGGATAGTTTGTTGCATGTATGTGTATGCAGCATATTAAACGCATAAATATGTGCACAAGGGGGGTTGACGTATATGAGATTGGAGACTTTTTTTTGCGAATCTCGCTAATGAGCGCCATCTGATTTTAGTGTGAATTAGATGCAAAAATCAAATTTATTTCAATAATTTGGAATGTATTTGAATGTTATAGTTTCAACACAAAAATTGTATTAAAAATCATTCAAGTAAATCAAATTGAAATTAAATCAATTAAAAATCATTGTACACACACATAAAGCATATAAAATAATACAACTAAATTATAAATACTCACACCATTCTATGGGAACCTAACAAAATCGTATTATTTCAAATTAGAATTATTTTTATTTCATATAAATGATTCTATTTATTTTTTCAAATTCATTCTATTAGAATTATAAATAAATAAATTTCTATTTATTACAGAAAA